CATCAGCCTCCTTGCCCCCAATGCCTCCCTCTCCCGCGGCTCACCGCTGCCCCCCAACCCCCTCCCTGCACCCCGACCTGGTCCAGGAAGGGCGACTGCAGGTGGAGGAACTGGGCCACGATGTAGAGCGCGAAGAGGTGGCGGTCAGCGCCGCGGCCGCTCATCGCGGCCTTCAGCAGGGCCTGGTGCTTGTCCGCTGCCAGGCGGAACAGGGCGAGGCACTGCGGGTCCTGGGTCCCGGGAGGTCACAAGTCATGGAAAAACAGGAAGTGGGCTTACTGCTGGGTCTGTCCCACCCCTGCCTCAGCCCAGCTCGCAACACCCCTGCAAGGCAGGGACAGCAGCTCAGTGGGGGAGTCGCTGGCCCGCTGGCCCGGGGACACACCGCAAGGCAGGATCTGCCTGACCCTCCCCAAACCCCTCCCATTAAACCACCTAGGCAGAGGGGAGAGGGAACGGAGGCGCCTTGGGCCGTCTGAGCAGAGGTTATAGAGGGAAAGGGGAGTCACAAGGTCACACAGAGGTTAAATAATCAAAGAGAGCTGCATTGTGACAAAGGGCTCCCTCTTGGGTGCTCCCCAGTGTCCTGTGAGACCCCCATTAAAGCATGGATCACACTATGCTGAACTATCCCCTTTCCCATCGGTGAGCTCCCTGAGCTCAGAGTCCGGGCCTGGTTCCCTCCTGCCCCAGTGCCCCCCAAGGGGCCTGGCCCTCGGCGGGTGCTGCATAAATGTCTGCAAGTGTCTGAGTGAGGAGGGGAAGTGACGAAGCCTCAGGCGAGGCCCACACCCACTGTCTTCTCTTTGTCTTCCATGGCCCGCACGAAGTGGCAGGCTTCCCGCGTGCAAGACCGCACCGTCTCCGTCCGGCCTTCCAGGAACAAGCGGGTCATGGTCGACTCGTAAGTCAGGCAGAATTGACCCCTGTCCTGGGGGACAAGAAGAGGAAGCTGTCATCTGGGCTCAGGAAGTCTTCACAGACTTGACCCAGCCTCCTCCCGCCCCACAGTGTGTGGCTGGGGGAGAGGAATCAGATGGCGAACCCACAGTGGCCAAGAAGAGTCATGAAAGTGGCTGGAGGCAGGTCTTGGGGGACCAGGGAACCGAGCTCCTGAGGGGTTGGGGTCAGGGAGCCTAACTGACCCTGAAGTGCGCCAGCTGCAAGGCCACCTGGATGAAGCTGTCTGAGGAGAGCTGGCAGCGTTTGATGAAGCTCTTGCCAAAGTGGGCGAAGGGGAAGACGTGGCAGTCAATGTCCCCAGACAAGGTCTTGGCTCCCCTCAGCGCGAGAGAGAGGGACCGGTGGATCTGCCAGGAGGGAGGGAGCAGTGGCTGGCTCGGAGCCGGGCAGGGTTAGAGCTGGCAACCGGGCTGGAAGCGGCCGTGGAAATGGAGTCAGGGTTGGGGTGGATAATGGAAATGGGGACAAAGAAGGGGATGGAGCTGAAGGGCCAGGTTAAAGAGGGACATAGGGACGTCACTGGAGGTCAGGACGGGGTTGGGGATGGGGTGGAGTCAGAGTTGGGGTTTCAGATGGGTTTGGTGGTAGAAACAGGATTGAATTTAGGTCTGGTGATGGTGTTGGGATAGAGATGAGTTTGGGGTGGGGATGGAGTTGGGGTAGGACTAGTCTGAGTGATGGGGTGGGGTTGAGGATGGCGCTGGTGGTGGGATGGGGTTAGAGTTGGGGTTGGGGATGGAGTAGGGGATGGGGTTGATCTCGAGGTTGAGACTGGGGGTAGAGATGAGTTTAGAGTCAAAGCCAGGAATTTCTGTTCTTAGAGGAAAGGCCCAGAAACCTGGACTCACCTTGTCTGGAAGGTCCCAGTGCAGCCGCTGGGGCTGGGGCAGTGAAGGGTCAGGATGCCCCTTGCAGTGGCCGTCCACCGAGTAGCCCAGCTGAAAGCATTCTGTGGCCAGAGTGAACTGTGTACAAATGGAGGCGGTCAGAGTCCCTTCCTCTCTCTGGTCCAAGAGCAATCTAACCCTCTGGGCATGGGGTCAGTCCCTGGGAAGGAGAAACCCCTCATGTTCATAAGTGGGATCTCAGGTTCAAGTTCATCGAGAGCAGGACTGATACTAATATCCAACTGGTGCTTACTAACCCTGTACTTCTAATGGGTGAAGAGACCCCAACGGCTGCCCCAGCCCTCCCAGGACCACCTCTCAGCATCCACTCTGACTGAGTGGGGCCCACACCCTGCTTTTTATTATTGTCAAATATTTTTAAAATTGCTAAATATTTTAAATCAGCCCTGATTAAGCACCTATGACCCTCCAGCCTTGCATTCTCTTTATCTTACTCTAGGTGACATTTCCTCATTCAAAGCCGACATACAGAGACGATATATGGACATGAAGTGTCTGAGGTCTGACATTGAACTGAATTGAGAGTTTCACTTACCGATATTATCACAGGGAAAAAAATTCCCATTTTACAAACGAGAAACAGGCACAGAAGGGTCAGTACTGATCTGGGGCTGCTCCTGAAGCCTGGGAGGGGACTCCCTTCCCCTTACACATGCCCAGTCCCCACTCTGGGCCCCAAAAACCCCTCATGCAGCACCGTGGAAGACTGGGAACCTGATAAGGGCAGACATCACCCCCTATGACTTAAGACTAAGTAGAATAGAGAAAATAGAGACTCGAAGGTTCTTAGGAGTGGGTTAGACTTAAAGATCAAAGAAAATCCAGTCCTTTCCCCTGATGGAGGGGAAACTCAGGTTCAAAGGAGGGGAGTAACTTGCCCAAGGCCACACAGCCAGCCAGAGCTGAAGGAGGGTTGTGATTCAGTGGGATGTGATTCAAAGGCCTCCCATTCTGGCCTCAGAAAATTCTGGATTCAT